GCCGGGGACATTGCCCACTGAGGCTGTTGAATAGCCTTTGTGCTGTTGCTGACTGGCCCCCTCAAGCAAAACGCATACACCCATCAAGCCAGGCACTTTGCCACGCAGAGTTTGTCGAAGCAATGGCTTGTTCACCTATGTTCACCTTTCCGGCCATGGCAATTTAGCCGGGCGTAGTCAGGAAAGCGCAGGGTCGCACCGTTCGAGCCAGAGTGGCGTTTTGTTTACCAAGGCGCGCCTCAGTACTCTGACGTAACACCTTCGTGCACAGCTAGTGCCCTCAGTTTCTGGATGTGTTGGTTGCAGTCGATTCGCTAGACCCCCCAGTGTTCGCCTCAATGTCCAATCAATTTGCATGCAATGCTCATGTTCGACGTCGGACAACTCTATCCAGATGGCGTGGCGCAGACAACAACTTTGGGCTGGCTAGGTAGCTCTGCGATTGCATGCCCATCCACAGGACGCAGTCAGTTGAGCCGTTCCCCCCAAATCAGCGACGCTCCTCGAGCGTGCTGATGTTGTGAGTGTTTGGTGGCTTAGGGCCCATGCAAAGCTGCTTCGAATCACTGTGCTCGAAGGGCAGCGCTTCCTGGCCCCACAGTTACACCGTTCCGCCGCCGCCGAGTTCTTTCTTTTCGGATTCGCAAGGCGGCGCCGACTACAGCCTCACCAGCCAGGGCTACATCAACGGCGCAATCCAAACCGGCCAAGAAGCTGCTCGCAGGGCTGCCCGGAGCTCAGAGAGTCCCAGCGCCGGAGTCCGCTGGAAACCCCCCCAAAAAATCAGAGTTGGGAGCTCAGAGTTGGGCCTCAAGCCGTCTCAAGCAGAAAAACAAATCCTTTTGAGTCACGGCTTAGAATTTGGGGTGCGTTCCTTGGAGCTGGCTCACTGGTTTGACTCCTATTTTTTCAGACATATCTCCCCACAGCCTTCCCCTCGGGAGATCTATGCCTATTTTTTGGCTGAACAAATAAAATAATCTGTATTGTCGACCCTTTCTTGTTTTGAGACAAGGCAATATGGTCGGGTGTTTATTGATTGTGCAGCCTACCGATTGCCTCGCGGCAGATCGCATGTGACACTTCAATCTCTGTCGGCTGTGACCCTACCAAGAGGTAGTAGGGTCAAATGTGACGCGGGGTCCTAAACCTAAAACCCTGAAAACCCTAAACCTAAACTCCAGAAAAAAGCACCCAGAGAGAGAGAAAACCCTAAACCCCTAAACCCCTAAACCTAAACCTGTATCAAATAGGGGTAAGAGTGTCGCCTGGATTTTGCATGCAGAATGTAGGCGACTTGTTTGGCCGAAGTGGGCAATGAGCAAGCCCAGGCTGTCAAGAGCTGCAGGGCGCTCTTTTTTCCACTGGTCCAGCCGAAGGGCGAGACACTCTTGCGATTTTGTACGTTTAAGTCGTAGTAGGACAATAAAATGGGAGTTGGGGGAATGAAAGCAGTACATTTGGTAGCTTTCTGCTCTCAAAATAGCCACTCAAAATTGCAAAGTTCCTTGCAACATGTGGACAGATTTTCTGGCCAGACAAAGGGGTGCCTTTCATCCCGATGGGCCCCTTCAAGTGCCAGTCAACAGTATTCAACCCAAATGGGTAGGGTATACGTTAGCGAGGGGCAAATGATGGGAACGGTTTTTGCAACACTACGCTAAGCGCTGATTCACTTCATATTCCCCAAGCGCTCGGGTCCAAGCCTCAGGTTGACGAGATCTCGAGTGCAACGACATCGCTTGTGGTTTGAGCAACTTTTTGGGCCTGAGCAGCGTTGGCTTGCGACGCAGCTCAGGGCCATTTTGAGGAGCATGCCTGTGAGATAAATCTGTATGGCAGCTCCTCTTTGACCACACATGTCATGCGATTTGTTTGTTATGATCGGAACTGCGCTTGGCAGCAAAAAGGTTTTTACTCGGAGGCAAGGCTGGCTTCCCTTATGCTAGTCGCGGCGAGCCTATATATATATATATTTATAATACATACATACATACATACATATATATATATGTACACTTAGCGTTCTAATGCTTGCTGGAGTTGTTCAAGCTAGCTTCGACAGACATGGCTAGACTGATCTCAAGATGTGTGCTGCGAGGAGAGCGTGCCGCTTCTTGGGTGTTCAGTTTTTGGTGGCAATCGATGGCCCGCCTCGTTCATAGGCTGCAGCTGCTAGCTCGTCGTCTTTGCTAGTCAATCTGTGTCAACATGTAGCCGATCTTCCGACATGTTGCGGCCCCGAGCGCGGGGTAGCATCTCCCAGGAAAAGAGAACCCCAGCGCCCCAGCACATGAGCTGTTGGACACACTGGTGCACGATCGTTGGGTCGCTCAGCAGTTTCCAGTCTCTACTTCTTCTTTTTGTCCGCCTCGCCCAATTTTTTGCTCAAGCGTCCAGTCTCTACTTCTTCTTGTCCGCGCTCAATGATTTTGCTCCAGCGGCGCTTGAGCTAGCTTCTAGCACACATATCCAGCTCAGAGAAAACCGAAAACTCACTGAGAAAACCGGTCACCATCGGTTCGGTGCCCCAGCCATTGGGCCAAAGCCATGCAGGTGGAGTGTTTGCGTTTGGACGGGCAGCGCCTTGCCTCAGATCTTGCTGACACCGTCGCAGATGACCTTATGTGCTAAAGAAATAGGTTGGTTATCTTGGGGTTGAAGGGAATCTACTGGACAGATTGTTGTTTTCAAGGGGACTTCAACAACTGGAGCATGATGGTGAGTGTTGTTTTTTGAGATGACGGCCAATCCTTGTGTAGCATTTCATGGTGGTTCATTGGAACCCGGTCTCGTTTTGGGCTCACTCGTGCAAACTCAGGGCCGAGCACCTCGGGACACACGAAATCTCAGGGCCAAAGCTAGGGACAGCAGGCGGAAGCCGGGCTCGCAGCCGCATGAGGGGCCGGAAAACCTCCCCACCCGCCAGGGTTCCACTTTTTGACTACCTCAATGACCTAAACCTAGGGGTGGGTTCACGTACCAGATGTACCACCAAAAGGAAACCCTGGGTTTGAGTCTAGTTTCAATTTTCCGCAGGTCCAAAAAAAGGGGCTGCCCTCCCTGCGCTGGCAACTCCGCCGCCGCAGGCTGCTGTGCGACTTCGACATCTGCTCCAGCGCCACGGTGCAGGAGCTCCTCTGCAAGGTCGCCGAGCAGTTGGACGAGCCGATGGCGTGTGTCCAGCTTTGCAGCCCCTCGGCTCACGTCCTGGTGGCGCAGTCCGCTTCAACGCACCTACCGAACGCAGAAATGTTCGAAGGATATGATATTCTCCTGTAAATTCCAACAATCAATGGTTGCAAACCATAGTTTTTTAGGTGGTGCGACATTTTTTGTCCAGCCACAGTAGCTTTAGTTGCCAGGTTGTTTGGCTGGTTGAGATGGAGGACGAGTATTACATTAGTCGGTTCATCATTGTTGTTATATATTAGGTTGTGCCGCGATGTGGTATTTGTTGACTGACTTGTTGTCTAGTTCGCCAGCATGGACATGTTCGAAAATGATGTGCCAGCAAGTCCGAGCACGATTTGTTTGCGCAATGCCTTGGCTGTTTCAGTACTTTTGGCATATCCTGGCATGTTTGAATCATCTTGGCAAACCGAGCTTCGACTGCATTCTGCTGCTGGCTGAAAGACTTGCATGAAAGGTTAGCGGCCAGAAACAGGCATCCCTACGTATACGTGAGCCGCGATTTCACAAGCTGATTTCTGAGTTTGATCAGCAAACGGCACGCATTTTATTGTAGTGAGTTGCCTCGAGACACCGCTCCATAAACAACCATGTAACTACATGTGTGTGTGTGTGTGAGCGCGTGTTACTAACACCAACCTATGACTTCGCATAGCTCCCATGACATGTTGTTCTACGGCAACTCTAGTTTGTGAAGTTAGATTCGGGGAGCAAGCATTCCGCCAGGCAGGTCGCCGAGCGGGGCTACTAAAATCACCATCGCCCAAATGAATCGGCGATTGATGTTGATCCCGGATTAATAAACGCCAGTTTGTTAGTATGGGGGTGTTCCCCTCCAAGAGTGGTCTGAATCCCAACTAAAGCCAGGGACACCCCCATATCAATAAACCGGTTTATTCATCCGGGGTCAACATTAGCTTGAAACTTTGCCACAGGGGGGACATGGATCTTGGACGACTCCTTCGAGGAAAAGCAAGCCAAGTTGGAGACCATCCCTGCAACTCGGCGAACTCGGAACGGCGCTCTTCAGGTCCGGGAAGGAGGTATTCATCTCTGCCTCACTTGCTCACAGCGACCCTTTCACCTTTTGGTTCCCCCCTTTTGGACCATTTTGGTCATGGCCCCATCAGACTAACCTTTCATTTCGAGGTCCTTTGGGCAACTGAGCTTCATTTCACCCAAAAGCATCCAACAGCATGCATTTGAGTGGATGTGGCTGCTCCTTGGATGATCAAGCAGTTGTTTCGAGGAGCCTGTTCCGAGGTCAGATTGATAGCATCACGAGAACGGACACCTCCCCTCGCCCCCAATCAAAACCCGGGTAGATGAAGGTTAGTAAGAGGCGGCCGCCTTCTTAATTCTTTCCATGGTTCTGGATAGACCATTTTAATACCGGGTTTTGATTGTGACTCCATTGTTCTGGCACTGCTTTGCTTTCTTTGATGCGGCCATTCACCGGGCGCCCGTCTACCAAAAAGCGGTTCGCTTTTGACTCAAAGAAGCGCTGTGGGGCAACTGCTGCCTTCCCATGAGGGAGGGCTTCACAGAAGGACACGGTGCACGCCTGGATTTGTCGAACAGAGTGCTGCAACATGAACGGCACCAGGCCTCCACCGTAAGCCAGGCCTCCAGAAACTTTCCAGGTTCTTTTTTGGAATGTCCCGGGCCGCATCCGGTCTGCACCTTCAAGGCGCTCGGGGCTGTGTGAATCGTTTGCACTCTGCCGCGAATGCAAGTTAGCCTCATGTTTTGTTTGCATTTGAGTCGTGCCTTTTGAGGTGTCACCATCATCCAAATGCATTCCACAGCGCAGACATCTCGAAACAAATCCATAAAGCACGGCTGGGTCTGTTTATTTGTCAGAAGATCATTTGTGGCACACCTTTCTTTCAGCTGTGAAGCTGGGTTGACTGCGCAGGACCGAGGATGTTGGAATCGGTTCTTGCTTGTGGGTGCATCACGGCTGGCTGATGTGTTTGTTGCTTGGCCAGCTGGTTGTACCTGCGTGTTCAATTGTTGCTTCACATATGCTGTCCAGGTGATTGCATCGTTTGGACTGAGTGTCCAGACACAGCAAGCATAAGTGATACTTCTCCAGACAGGTGTTGTGCGCTTCAAATCAAGGTTAGGCGCAGCCTATGTGTCTGGCAGGCACAACAAAGGAGAGGCTGTTGGCTCTACACCCTGTGTGGGTCATTTGAGCCACAATCAAAACACGGGTAGATGAAGCTTGGTAAGGGACAATCCCAGCCGTAAATAGTTGCGGCCGCCTTTGTATTTCCTTACATGGTTCTGGGTCAACCATTTCAATACCGGGTTTTGATTGTGACTCATGTGCTGGCTGAATCAAGTCCAAGCTCTAGCCGCTCACGTTGACAGGCTGCACCTGAAAATTCCTAAGGAGTGCTAATTCTAGAGCCGCCCCCGTTGAAAGATGCCCCTGGGGGTGGCCGCGTGGCCATCAAAATCGCCCTGCTGTTTGAGGAATGCGTCCAGCCAAAAGTTTGCAGATCAGATGGAGAAAGCAACTGGGATGGCAAGGTTTTGGTTAGGTTCCGCCGCGGCGCGTTCAATGCATAGTCCCTTGCCCCTGATAAAAGAAGAAGAACCATGGTGTTATCGGGGGGCTCCCCTTTTTGGGAGTTAAGAGTGGGCCTTCGAAATGTAAGGAGATCCCAAGATGAAAACGCACATGAGTAGAAGCGGTTTAGGAATGGGGGAACCTGGCGGGAGGTTCTGGTGGTTTGGAGTTGGCTTGTCCTTCCTCCCACATTGCCATGGCACCCGACAGAGGGTCCGTTAAAGAGGAAACTGATGTTCCAGGCACCCTACCAGAGATGCTATGTTTATGGGAGGTAGGTTTAGTATAGACAGATGTCGGGTTTTGGAAATCACATGTTATTATTTAGGTTTATCTTTGAGAAGCGATCTGCAGCTGATAGGGGCCAACTCGGAAAATAGCTATTCCTCTAGGCCTGCAATCCTCACATTTTTGTCTACAGATAGGCTTCAGGGTGTTGCAGGCATTTCAAGGTTCCAAGGGGTGTCCTATGTCAGACGACCAGTGAGGGAATTCGACCTTTGTAAGTTGTAGAGGTCAGGAAGTCCATAGTCAGCAGCTAACCATGAGTTGACAGACTCCACGGAATTGCTGCATTCAAGTCAACGTATTCACTATTTTGCTGCAATACTGCAGTATGGTAAGATCATTCAGAGGGTGAACGTGGGTGCGCGCCGTCTACCATACAGTGCTGCAGCCGCACACGGGCTTTTCGCCGTTGGCTTGGCCTGAAGCATAGGTTTGCATTGTCCATTTCTTGTAGGAACTGCCGGGAAACTGGTCGGCGCCGATCCGCTCGGCGGACGCAGCACCTCACTCGACTTTTGAAGAGGTCGCAGCAGCCTGCGACTCACCGAGGTGAGTCGCTGGTCTTCACTGTGATCTGCCGAGCTCCCAGACATGAGCTGTGGCCATCAACAGATGCGTGGACCGGCTGCGGAGGCTCGCTCGGGAAAGGGGGCGAGGGCGCTTAGAGTCTTAGAGCCAAGCAGCATTTCGCAGCGAAACTGCGGAGTGATCTTGGGCCCACCTTGGAGCCTGTAGGGAGGTTACAGAATCTTGAAAGACACCCCACCCCCACCGAAAATCACCGGACAGGTTTTCAGAACCCTCCTGAAGCTAAGAATCTTCACCGGGCCACGGGGCGGCCTGCCGCTCTTGTTTTCTCCCTATGGATTTCCCTTTTGCGTGGTGTTCAGACAGAGAGGAAACCCAGGGAGCCTTGCAAAAGCGCAACGGTGAGCCAGGCAATCCCAACGGCATTGCTCGCTGCAACGGCGGCCTGGCACTGTATGACCGCATGCCTGGTGTGCCTTGCGTGCCCTGAGTTTGGTTCCTATGGCAACTGCTGCCATTGGCATAGTGTTCCATGTTAGTCACAACCAGGGGGGGACATCCAGCTTTTGTCCATGCCAGGCAAGAGGCCGCGCATGTTGCTTCCTGCGACTTCACGACAGTTCTCTCACTTAGTGTAGTTGCAGTGGGCGTGCTTCTAGCAGCTTCAGCAGACCGCACCAGCAGCCTAGCAAGCAGATGGAACATCGCTAGGGCGATGGCTAAATGTAGAGCCATGCAGGGCCCGCACTTTTGGGCACAATGTCACACATGCATTTGCGATTGTATTCAAGAGGGTGCGCATGCATGTGTGCACACAGGGAGCACCTCCCCCTTTACAAAGTGGAACTTTTCGTAGCTACAAGCACATTCAGTGAGACGCTCTGAACTTGACTGCTATTGGGTTGGATCTTTAGGCTTTACCTTTTTTGGGGAAATTATGGTGTTTTCCACAAAACCCCCAAAAAGGTAAACTTTTCGCATTGGGGTCAACAGCAACCAAGTGAATGGAAGACCGGCGCTCACGTGGATCAGCCCCTGATGTTGGCCTTACATATGAGCGCACGCACGCTTTTGATATTGGGAAACTGACAGGGTGTCAGCCTGGCGTTTGATTGTTTGATTCCCCAATCGCTGCACATGTTTTCATCTCGTCACAGGTGACATACATCATCAATCAGCGCCATATTTCGAAGGTTTGATTCCCCATTCTCTTCACCCATCGTTGTATTTGGAGACCCATTTTCCAGGGTTTTGGCCCATTCTTTGAAGATAATAATGCCTGAAGAGAATGGAGAAGGGTACAGCTAGAATATTTCGTACACGTTACCGCGCGTCAAGTGCAGTAACGCTTGGATCCGTCTCCTTTTTGCTGCCAGGTGCATTTACCTGGACCCTACTAACTGCAAGCAAGTCGGAGTGTTCCCTTCAAGTAATGATTCACTAAACCCAGGGCAAAGCACCCCCGCTATCAATAAACCGGGCTCGATTTTTGTAGGGTCAGCATTACCAAACTAGGATTCGGCGAATTCTAAACCACTGAACCAGCGGGTCCCGGCCGACCAACCCCTTGAATTCTTCCAACCTCAGCCTGAGGAGTAGGTTCTTTGACTCGGATTCTCATCTTGAGGCGCAGGGAACTGCAGCGACGCTCAGCTGCGACTGCGACTGCTTTTATCCGTTAGGGCCAAAAGGTGGATCTCAGAAACCCCGGCCGCCGGTGATTCATATGGTTCCGCTCTAACAAACAATGGTAACAATTGTTTTGTTTTTTTTTCAAAAAGATATGGTTCCGCTCTCCAAATTCCAACTAGCAACCATGTTTTGTTTGTTTGTGCGAAATGGATTTCGTCCATCAGGGACATAATTTGGGGCCTTCATTCCTTGAAGTGGCAATTCAAAGCACACGGCCTATTCTGGCTTCTGACAAGGGACTGGTGCAGATGCTCAGAAATTGGTTTTTGTTTGGATCACGCCTTGCTATGTGGTTTGTGACGGTGATAGTGAGACTAACATCAGCCCATACAACCATGCCGGTTGAACCAATAGCCAGGAGCTCTCAAACGACAAAGCAGCAAAACGGCATGCCACCGTTCCAAAATTGGGTTTATGGTTCCATACATGGCCCGCGCACTAGGGTCACTATTGGGTCACTAGGGTCACTAGGCCAAGGCAGAACCTGTGGGGGGAGATTGGCGCAACACTGCTGAAACCGAGAAGTGTGCGGCTGGTGAATGCACAAGGCGACATGGAGCAACGGCAGAAAACCGCTGCAAGCACGCTGAAAGACTTACCTCTTAAAAACACCACTTTTCAACTTGTTTGGGGCAACATGGGCTGTGTGTCTGTAACAGATTAACTTCCCCAGGGCTTGGAGTTTTAAGGGGTAAGAAGAAGCGTGCACCAGGCGATGCACCAAGTTGTCACTGACTCTTGATTGGGCTTGATTGATTTCCACTTTGCTAGGCTTTGTGGGCTATTAGCTGCTAGCCCATCGTAAGCCAAACTAGAGGAAAGCAGCCAGCTGAAATACAGGCACCCAGAGCCATCTTCAAACCTGCAGCGGAAATTGAATCTCAAATGTTATCAGACGGCCGCTCAAGTGGCATTGCAGTTGTCCAAGGCTGTCAAAGATGTGTACAAAGTTTCTCTCAACACCATGTTCAATATGAAGCAGCAGCAAAGAAGGTCAAAAGATGACCCTCCGTTTGTATTGCAGATTGCTACTGTTGTCCTGTGTCGACGTGTCATGACATGAACAAGTTAAGTTTCTGATCCCAAACTTTGCCTGTCCCTGTTATTCCCTGCACCCCACTTCAGCAGCTGGGCTCGGCTTCGGCTGCACTTGGGCTTTGGGGCTTTGGGGCATTTGGGGGTAGCTATCCGGCCAGTCGAACTGCGAGAATTGCGGCGCGCACTCGCAACTCCGCCGCACATGGGCAGCGGGCGTGCTGCGTTTGGTCTTTTATAACCTTTTTGCTGCCTCGTTCTCAAACTGAATGGCTTGCAAAGGGTGCATTCATGATAGCACGCACGGAAACACGTCCTGCAGAACTTGTTGTTTTTGCTTGTGCAAGATGCCGTGCCTTTACACTTGCCCCTTGCAGCCTCAAAGTCAGGCTTGTTGAGGGTCAGCCGTCTACCCATACCTGAATTTTCAACGCATAGTTTTATAATCCACCCCCTGGTGTGCACCCACTTGTTGATGTGCCAAGTGCGTATCGCTGTGCTATACCATCATGTCAATGTAGTTATTGACAAATGAAGGCGTGCGACTCTGATGTTGATGTTTTGAACTTCACTGTTTTTGGCAAGTTTTGCTTTTTTGGTTCTGTTCATTTTTAGACAGGGGCCGCAACAAGCAGAAAGTTGTTTGCACGCCCATGCCGAGTTGGTTGTGTCCGGTTTGCTGAGCCGAGGAGGTCCAAAAAACCGTGCCCTGTGCGGTCGCCATTGGGACAGGGCGACAGGTTCAGCTCAGCTCGTGGCAAAGCTGACGGGTTCTTGGCTCCCTGCCATCCGGTTGCTTTTGGCAGGCTGAAAGCGCACAGTTCGGGTGTTTCTTTGGGTGATTTTCAATGGCAGGTGCAGATTGAAAGAGAATTGAGTGATCGTTGGCCAGAGTTGACAGCACAATAGTTGAGCTGGAAGAAAAGCATGGTTGAGCTGGAAGAAAAGCATGTTGTTCATTCGATGCAACTTCACGCTGGCATATTTTCGATCTGGGGTCCATCAACGGCATTAGGTGCATATTTGCTAGCGCATTCCTTGCGTGACGACTCACTTCGACTGATGCGCCCTGTTACTGTCCTTTTGCACATTTTGCCTTCCATGAGCAAACCATGAGCAACAAATGCACGCAAATTGCTAGACAACCCATGGAATATGTTCTAATGGTGATGAGGCACTGGCGCTGCTGCGGGTCCACAGACGCGAACTCCGAGTTCTGCGTCCCTGGCACCCGGGGACGCCAGGCCAAGCGCAACAACGCCCCTCGGCCATCGAAGCACGGTCCAAACACTCTGGGAGGAGGATCGCTGCAAAAAAACACAGCGAGAAGTGTTTTTGTTTTCCCCCGCTTTCGGCGTCGGACTGCGTGGGAGACAGCCCATAATTGCCGAAGCCTGGCAGGTGTTCGTTATTTTTCTGGCAATGATCTCGCAGCTTTGGGGAGTTCCATTTGCATCCCCATCGTTGTCAGAGGAAAGCTGAACGCAGCAAGACTGCGAAGAGATGTCGCAACAGCAGAGTTCAAGCAGCAGATAGAACATGCTGATTTAGACAATCGCTAATCCCGGGATTGCGAGGGCTGCCCGTGCCGGTGAGCAGATCTTTGCTTGCAACATTAAACAGGATGGGCCGGCCCAGGTTCCAAGTTGATCGATTTTTGGCGTCCTGCCAGTTGCTTGCAGGCGCCTCATTCAGAGGTCTCTTCGGTCCCCAAATGAGCACGGGACCGTAAAGTACTTTTTGAACATGGCATACGGCATGGGGGTGACAGGAGCAGTTTCTTGGCTTCAGGCTTGCACTCCTCAGGTAAACGCTCACTGGTCTAGTTGGGATGATGTTTCCTGGGCCTCGCGCCCCTTTGTCCGTGTCACAGTCAGCAAAGGGGCAGCGTTGATTGCCGTGCCCTCCTGGTGCTTTTGCTTCCCAGGTTACTCTCTTCACGTTGCGTCTCAAGGGAATGTTTAGGTGCCCGCTGGAAGCCAAAACTGACTACGCTGAGCATAAGTTGAATGCATTCAACTAGTGCCCGCAAGTCAGACAGAACCCTCCAGCCGCTGGACACGTTTGGTCCTGACCGTACGATGCCATCAGCGAGCAGGCGTTTTTATCAGAGTGGTGGCCCAATCGTGGCCAGAATCGTGGCGAATCTGTAGAGAAACCAACACTTTGGTCAAAATGTGCCCGTTGGCCAGCCCAGATATCATGCTGCCAAGATTACAGTTTATATGCATCTATGTATTCATATATATATATATACCTAATATGTATATACACACAGTGTTTTGGTGTTCATACAGAATCGCCAAAGCCAAACTTAACATGGGGTAGGAAGTGCGGGGAACGGCTTTTACGAGTCGTGCGCGACGATGCGGGTTGCCCAGGATCTGTGCTACCAGCTCTACGACCCTCTCATGCCTGCTCCGACGTGCCTCGGCGACGGTCCGCGAGGCATGCGGTGGAAGCGCCATGCAGATGACTTGCTGGTGCGATAGGCAGGGAATGAGAAATAGAATGTCCCCTATAAACCATCCAACTGGTGGCTTCCTTTAAGGGAATCCCTAGGTCCATTCCCACATTCCCCACCTATCGCACCTGCAAGATGAAAACACTTATCCGAAACCATTTTGCGAAGTGTAGCCCAGCTGGTAAATTCCTGCTTTTCGCCTGTACATGTTTACAGTGTGGCATGTTGTCAGCCATGGGGCGGGAGAGCAGCTGTATGCTAGAGGCACGGTGCGGGAGACCAATACGAACGGGCTCCTCACTCAACACGTTTGGTTTGCATATACTGTGGGTATTTCCGGCTTCCGGATCGGCTTCGGGCAGAAAGAATCAGCCGGTTTGGTTCATCCGAGATGACTAGCACAGGACATGATTGGCTATTGAAGGTTAGCATTGACATGACAACACTGATTGGCAAATCAAGACGCGTGAAGGAATGTATTAGAATATATAGTGGCTCCTTGATTCCCAGTCGGTCTCGCATGAGACAACATCAGGCGACGAAAGCGTGCTAAGTAGGATTCAGCTGGGCAGGATGGACAAGCTGAATCACCAGTTGCCATCTGGACGTTGGAAGTGGCTGAAAGCTGCTTCAGAAGTTATGTAACATGTGCCTGTCATACTGACGCTTGTGATGTGGATAGTGGAGTGGTGGGTCCTTGAACCTACGTGTGCATGCCGCGCCTCAGAAAGATGGCGTCCCTAAACAGCGAGTGCAAGAATTATGTTGACACGTTTGTCATGGTTAGCAACCCGTGTGATAGGCAGACAGTTGGCTTCCAACTCGGATTGCATGTGCTGTTGTTCGCGCTGGTGGCACTCGCATCCATGAGTTGCTGCAATACTTTGACCGCGCAGGAGCTTCCCAGCCTGGCAAAATGGTACTGGAGCCCTAGTGTACCTAAGTAGCAGGGTGGCATGCCAGGCGAAGTTTCCCGGTCGCCGCAGATTTTCCAGCATTTCTGCCAGTCAGGTATTGTGTCGTCCCAGCGCGTGCAGGCGGGGGGTTCATGTGTTGCGGCTTTTTTCGTTGCTTCTTGGCACGCACTTTTCCCGATCAGATCACGGGAAAAGGGAGTGCTTTGGTGTGGGAGGTCACAGTTAAATTTCATGTGGCCAGATGATTGGTCATTTGCCATCTGGCGCAACTGATTTGGTCCTTCGTCATGCAGGCAAGGATGACGCTGGGAGGACGGCCATGAAAGGTGGCTGCGGCCTCAGGATGTGCCGCACAGCAACGAGGACTGGACTCCAGGAGTGGGCAAGTGTTGGTCATTTGAACGGGCACGTGGCAATGGCGTGGAGTATGAACTATGAGTGGGTGGGTGGGTGGGTGGGTGGGTGGGTGGGTGGGTGGGTGGGTGGGTGGGTGGGTGGGTGGGTGGGTGGGTGGGTGGGTGGGTGGGTGGGTGAGTGGGTGAGTGAGTGAGGTGAGGTGAGTGAGGTGAGTGAGGTGAGTGAGGTGAGTGAGGTGAGTGAGGTGAGCTGAGGTCGGGTCAGGTGAGGTGAGGTGAGGAGAGGTGATGTGAGTGAGGTGAGTGAGGTGAGTGAGGTGTGAGGGGAGGGGAGGTGAGGTGAAGGAGCGAGTGAGTGAGTGAGCGAGTGAGTGAGTGAGAGAGTGAGGGAGGGAGTGTCTGTCCAAGCCTCGCTGGGGCAAACGATCAATTTGGGTGGTCTTACGGGGCGAGCTGCAGACCGTGTTTGGTTCATGGGTTGGCCGGCCTGGTTTCCACAGGAAACCAACACAAAGAGTTCCAGCGCGGGGCATGTCGCAGCCTTTGGAAATCTCAGCTTCCTTTTCAGTTGCCTTGCCAAACTCGGCCACTGAGGCTGATCGATCAATGCCTTCAGCCCTTGCCAAGCAAGAGTCAGAAGCCCGAAATTATTTAACCCAAAGGGCTGCTCGGCCGGGATCCCGAGCGCCCTCAAAGCACTGAGGATTGAGCCAGGGTAACCCATGATACGACACGGACAACGTGCATGATCTTCCCACTTTCTATTTTTCAGGCCTTTGGAGCAGTCCGGAGGTTCCTCGCGAGTGATCTCAGCTTTGTGTGCTGAGGATGTGCTCTCGTTCACCCGGCCACACGCGTCAGGTGCGACAACTTATGATGCCCGGAGTTTCAAGGCTTTACCAGCACTGCGGTCATCAAAAGTTGCCCTCCCGCCTGGAGAAGTGGCGCTGCCGTTTGAAAGAAGGCCAAAGTGCGACAAGTTGCCGGTTCCATTTGCTCAGTCGGCCCAGATTTGCACAAACGAACTTATTGTGATCCCGGGGAGTGTCTGCACAAGAGGCTGAATGCTTTGCTACATTTGCCGCAGCAATGCGAAGGATGCATTAAACAAACCCTGGTTCAATAAGATGTGCCCTTTGTTAAGCGGCCTGTTCACATGCTTGGAAAAGCTGGTTGTATTTATTTGGCCCTCTCAGGAGCATTCCAGCATCACCAAAATGACAGCAGGACTACCTGACAAGAAGGAGCTCATCCTCTCCCTTTCAGTTCGCCTGTTGACGAAAGGGTTTCAGGCTCAGGGTTTGTAGTATTCCTGCGGGGTCTCCTGCCCGATGCCTTCGGAGCAACCCAGTCAGCTAGCACCCGAAGCAAAAGACGTAGTTTTTCCACTCAAACTATGGGTCAAAGCTCAACCCGGCAACCGCAGGTTAAGTCCTTGAATCAATCCATTTACCCGGGTTCCATTTCTTGTACCTATTTTTGACCCACACCCATGTCCAGTTGGCCATTTCCGGGATCAGAGGGTTGCCAAGTTAGGTGAGAAATGCAGCCAGTGGCAGCATGCAGCATCGCTCTTCGAGCGGCACCCTTGCCACGAGCTATTTGGGCGTGTGTGTTTTTGAGAGAGAGCCCATTTTCACGGGTGTTTTCAAGGCTCAACCAAAAGAAAGGCCGGTTGGTCCGGTCTCATTTCTTCGGGGAGGCATGGAACCCTGGTGGCTGGTTGGTTGGTTGGTTGGTTGGTTGGTTGGTTGGTTGGTTGGTTGGTTGGTTGGTTGGTTGGTGGGTTGGTGGGTTGGTGGGTTGGTGGGTTGGTGGGGTGGGTGGTTGGTGGGTTGGGTTGGTGGGTTGGTGGGTTGGTGGGTTGGTGGGTTGGTGGGTTGGTGGGTTGGTGGGTTGGTGGGTTGGTGGGTTGGTGGGTTGGTGGGTTGGTGGGTTGGTGGGTTGGTGGGTTGGTGGGTGGGTGGGTTGGTTGGTTGGGTTGGTTGGGTTGGTTGGGTTGGTTGGGTTGGTTTGGTTCGTTGGTTCGTTGGTTGGCTGCATCACGGCATCATCATCCGACTCACTTGACTTGGACTTAGGGCTGCCTAATGGCTGCCTATTGGCTCTGATTTGTCGTGTCTGGTTTAATTATGGGGGGTTGTAGGATGTGGTTAAGTGGTTAAGTGGGTTGTAGGATGTGGTGGTTGAGTGAGCTTTGGGCTAGTTTTGGGGGTTTTGGGCAACACTCAAATCCCAAATCAGCTCAACACTCACCAAGGCTCGCTTAACGCCCTAAAGCAATCGCACAGCCACACCTAAAGCAGGCTCCAAGCCAGCTCCCAAAGCCAACTGTAAACCCGCCCAAAGGGCTCCTGGATATGAGCCTTGGCCCCCAACCCAAGACCCATCCGAATTAAGATCAAAGCCAGCCTAAAACAAACTGTCAGTAAACCTCCCAACTGCCGTCAAATCAGCGTCAATACAGTAGGCAGCCCTAGGTCCAAGTCTCAGGAAGTGAGTCTATCATAGCGGATTTTGTTGTTGCAGATGCCATGTGAGAGGCCGCGGCAGCCTTTTGGCAGCGGATGGGGGCAGAGCGCGTGGCCGCAGATGCCTACACGCACCCAGTGCTGCAGACATGCTCAGTGTTTGGCAGCAGTGCTCCCGCCGCTGTGCAGCTATTGTTTGTTTACGGCTATTGCATGTTCAAGGGGAATGGTTCTCAGCTTACTGCATATGACAAGGCAACTGCGCAACAAGTACGGGACATGTTTTTGAGTAGGATTCCACAAAACAAATGAAGAGCATGATTGCAAATACCATGACAACACAGACCACTGCAGGCGTTTGGACAGGCATGTTTGTTCCAAGTCAAGCTTGCTTAAGCTGACAAAGCGAGATAAAGTGCAGGCTCAGTTCGGATTACCACATCCATTTTTGGAGTTTGGAGTTTGGCGTGAGATTGCAGATCGCCCCAGCCAAGGGATAATCGGAATCATCCCAATGGCCGCTGCGCTGAGCAAATTGTGCGATGATTGTTGCACACCTTTTTGCTGCCCACATCCTACAAGAGCAAGAGCGAAAGCCAGTTGAAGACCCCAGGGGAGCGCACAGCCTCTGTCAGTTTTCCAGGATACTCATCTCCAGGAGTGAGGCTTGCTGGTTTTGAGCTGGCCAGATTGCTGACGAAAAGCCGGGCTGACGTCGGAACGAGAAGCAGGGGCCATTTCCTATGATGTTTCTTTGGTGCATTTTGCCAAAGGATGTTAGGACTTTAGCTTTTTCCCAACTAAGGGGTTCTCCATTAAGCCACTAAAAGTTAGTCACTTTTAGCAGGGGAGCAGAAAGCAACCGAGTCGGTCAGCCAATTTGTGTGCGAGGGACATGGTTGATGAGTGCAACCAGATGCCCTCCCCAACCAACATGGAAGTGCAAAAGGCCCTTTCCAAGAGGAAAGTAGTCTTTCTACAGGGGTCTGTGCACTTCCATGGTAGCCAATGAGAAGACAGCCCTAGGTACTGCTCGGTGATCTCTGCATGTCTCTTGGAGCGCAAGTGCTTCTTGAAGAAAGGGCCGGGCCAACAGTGGTAGTGCAAATCGGCATGACCCATGGGACAGCAAACCAAACTCGCTAATCGAGATCATGAGTTGGCTTCTCGGTAAGATGTGCAATTTCGCAACACCGTGTGCAATGATAACTTGTAAATCCATCGCGAATGGTAGTTCCCTGCGTTTATTTGAGGGAAGAGGCCATTTGTTTCCTGCAAGCTGGACAGGGTTTGGCGACCAATTGTATTCCTTTACCTCCAGCTGCCTTCAACTGGGAGATGCTCAACAGCAACCACATCTACACATGCAGCTCGCACCACTTGCTCTGCTTCAAGCTGATTCCAAATTTGCAAGCAGGGACAGATTGCCGGTCAACTTGCCATGCTCAGCGAATGCCATATTTGGGTTGCTGGCACGTATCTCTTGAAGAGCAAACATGGCCGCCGTTGTCCATCAAAGTGCCCCCAGTGAGGCACTTTTTAGGCAACTCGGTGTCGCGCAGCAAGGCTGTATTGCGACTCTTGGATCATGCTCTAAGATAAGCTGAACAATGGGGTTCCAAGCATGCCGGTCATTACGTTCCATCACTTAATATTGTTTTGTTTCATGTCTGTATTTGATTCAATTGAACTTAGTTTGGATTTCCAGGGGCCGGTTTTACGCGTGTTCACCGGCGCCGGGCAACCCCGGCCACTGGGCCCTCCGCCTGTGGGCCCTGTGGGCCCCGAGAACTGAGGCAAAAAGCGCGGCCCATTTGGCGCGGAAAGTGGCCGGGATAATTTTCAGGCACCTGAGTGTTGCATCTTCCAGCTTCCGGAGATTTGCTCGCAAAGGGCTTCCCTTTATGCCCCTCCCATGGCCGCTGGTGAACTTGCAGCATGTGAATGACTGGGGCAAACCGAGCAATGGGTGTTTAGCGTACGTGAACAAAAGGTTGAAAAGCACTAGCCACTGAGCTGCTTCAATCATTGTCTCTTCAGGTTGGTCAACGGATGAGGCTTTCAATGAAGACTGGCAAATTTGCACTGCGAAGTTGCACTGAAAGCTGCTTTTCACATAATCTGGCGACATCGATGCATTTGCACAGGGAGGCTTAGTTCTACAGCGGGAGACGTCGGTTGCATGTGAAGCGCTGCCCACTTGAACCCAGAGGACCTGCTATGCGAGTTTCGTTGATCAGGGCTCCTTAAAAGATCTCCATTTTGCAACCATTTGAAACATGTTGCGTTTTCAACACCAGAATAAAGGGAAGCCACCATTTACAAGTTGCAATGTTCATGTGTTTTTCATGTAAGGATCCCTGTTTATGTTGGTCTGAGCCAAGCTGCAAAAATAATGCTGAGTCTCTGACGTGTTTTCCAAAGTTTTGCCTAACCCAGTGGAAGCAGCAAGTCGCCAGATCTGAGCTGGGGAAGAAATTATATTTGTTGCCTCATTTTAACATCAGGTAGGATGCTCAACTGACATAGCAGCATACAAGTTCAATTCAAGGCAATGCTGCCGTCGATGTCATATGGCCATGGGTCAAAATCCAAATCGTAGCCCCAGTGAGCATCCCAATCCAACCACTAAAATAGGTTCTCAAATGGGTGGTGAATTCACCCAATCCAACCAAAATGGGATCCCCTTGAACGGTTTTGACCACCACAGCCATATGGCTTCCTAGCCAAAAGTTCAATCCGCGAGGCCGCGTGGTCTTCAATGAGATCTTGGATTTGCCAGCGCCCGCACAAACAGCTGCCGAGCTCTTCAAAATGGCGATCGCCACCCAGGCTGGGTAAGACTTGCTACACATTTTTGGGCAATTTGGGTGGATCGTTGGACTTTAAATTTTTGGGGACAGAGTGGATTTTCCATTCGACCCACAACAATTGAACTGTTTGCGGAGCGGTCAACAGCAACCAAGTACAGGGTTCACAGACGGGACTTCCAGGATTTTCGCACATGGCAACCAATTCTGAGAGAGCAAAGTGGGGTTTGTGCATTTGAAGGTTGCCTCCTGACTCATGATCCCCCCTCTCAGGGGAAAAGCAGGGGGTCTCACTAGAAGCCTGCCCTGGAATGTGTG